AAACATAACTTCGTGTGCCTTCGGTCACAGCTGAGGCTTCAATAATCCTGTGGTGCTGTGATGCTCCAGGGCAAGATTACAACAGTTGAAGACATCCTGGTTACTTGAGAACCCAGTAGTACTAATAAAAAGAGAAAGATTTCACCTGGCAAAAGGACAAATTCCTTATCAGCCCGCTATCTTGTCCCACCTACTACTGTAGGAATGCTTTGTCCCTCTCTATCAACTTGCGATCCTCATTAACCTAAGATTCTCATTAACAAAGGATTCCCACCACCACCATCAGGGTCACCTGATGGATACCCAATAAACAGTGGCTAACTCGGAGTCTCTCTGTCTTGGCCTACTGTGGCACTGACCTCCCAGCCCCCGATGTACTTTGAAAGTGTGTCTCTTTTTCTTTCTTCGCCCTCTCCACATCCCTCTCTAGGCAGATTGAAGGACTGATCAGCCCCCAATACTTTTTGAGGTACTGGGGATCAACCTTAGGGCCTTGAGCATGCCAAGCAAATGCTATATGACTGAGCCATTTCCTTGGCCCGGAAGCAACATTTTGATAGCTTCTGTGTAAAGGATTATCATCAGGCCTGAGCTAACAAGAAGACCTGGGATCCTGTTTCCTTGGAAACTATAGTGCGAAGACAAATATGGAGTGTTGTATTTGGAAACCTCTTATCTGAAGCTCTGTACCCGGGTTAGAAATTGAGGCTGCTTCTCTGTGTCTCAGTAACTCAGATTTTATAGGTAAGAACAGAATATTCTATTCCAACATTTCAAGCAGCAAGGCTTCTGAAAACCTCGGACTTTAGACTAGAGTATCTTCTTGTTAATTATCAGAAAGTCTTTCCAGGCTTGCCCCCTTGGAGGCAAGATTAGCGTCCTGGTACAGACAAGGAAACAAAGGTTCTAGGTACTTGGCCAATGTCATATACTGGTAAACGGCAGTCTGGATTCGTACGTATCCCACAACCCAGCAATTATTCTCCTAAGTATATATGCAATAGGTTTGCATACGTACATGTTCCAAAAGCCACATTCACAGCAGAATTTTTTAGGACTAAGCAACATTTTTCCAGTCTTAGTTTTTATTGAATTAAAACTGATACACAGTAGAATGCATAGATATCAAATGTTCAGTCCAGTGAATTTTGACAAGAGCTCATTCTTGCAGTAGCAGCCAAACCAAGACAGATTTTCATCATCACCTCAGAAACTGTCTCCAAATTTTGCTCCTTTCCAATTAACTACCCTCATCCCCAGACATCACTTTCTGATTTTTACCCCTGCAAATTAATTTTGCCAGTTCTTGGACTCCATACTTTACAGTGTCCATCATGTTTCACTTAAGTGTTTCTGAAATTTATTCATAATGTCGTGTGTATAGTTTGGTCTTTTTCTACTGGTGGGAAATGTAAGTATACTACAATTTAAAATTACACATTCTCTTACTGCACGTTATTAGAAGTCAAATATTAGTTTTGAGGAAGACGGAGTGAGTAGGAATGGGCATATGAGGTGAGCCTATGGATTTCTGTTTCTAGATCTGGGGGTGGTTATATAGGTTGTTTACTTTGTGAGAACTCATCCAGCCATTTACTTGGGAAGTGTGCTCTCTTCTTTATGATATACCTTGGCAACAAGTTTGCTATTTTAAAACTAAAGCTTCACTATCACCAGTTGGGTGAACTTCTCTGGGTAGGGGAAGGTCAGTGGAGAAATTAAATTACAAATAAAGACAGCGTCAAAATGATGGTGTGAATACAATACAATCACTTTGGATAGCATTGTGACAAACTCGATAAAACTAAACAGTAACGTTCTGTGCCACCCTCTAATCCTACTACAAAGTGTTTACAGAAGAATGAAAACAGAAAGACGCCCATACAAATGTTTAAGGCAGCTTTGTTCCTAATAACCAAAACAATAGAAATAGCTTTAAAAAAAAAAGCCAGCATGGTGGCACACACCTGTAATCCCAGCGATTGGGAGGGTGAGGCAGGAGGATTGCTGTGAGTTTGAGATCTGCCTATGTTACACAGTGAGTTCCAGGTCAGTCTCAACTACATAGTGAGACCCTGTCTCAAAACATTAAAAAAAAACCCTGAAAAACAGCTGATGTAAAACAACAACAAAAAAAAGAGAAACAGCTGACATATCCATCAGTTGCCAAATAGATAAACAAGTTGTCCAGTACACTTACACAATGGAAACTATCAGCTATAAAAAGAAACTACTAAAATGGATGTTGTGGCATATGCCTGTAATCCTATCAATCACTCTGGGAGGCTGAGGCAGGAAAATAAAAAAATTTAAGAACAGCCTAGCAACTTAGCAAGACTCTTAAATAGAAAATAAAAGGGATGGGTATGTACCTCAGTGTGAAGACACTGGACTCACTCCCCCAATACCACAAAAAATGAAAAACAAAACATGCAATAAATGACTGAGCCATGCAATAACATGGTGGAATCTCAAAAATGTATGTCACATGAATGAGGTTACAGAAAAGACCACATGCGGTATGATTCTATTTATACGAGTCTGGAAAAGGCAAAGCTTTAGGAATAAGTAAGATTGATGTTTGCTAGGGGTGAAGGAAAGGGGATTACCAACGGACACAGGGCAATTTTGGAGATGGAATGCTTTACATTTTAGTGTGGTAGTCATTACACAACAGCATACATTTGCCAAAACTCGATGCTTACAAGCCAGGCATGATGGTACATATCTGTTAATTGTAGCACTCTGGAAGGCTGAGGCAGGAGGGTCACAAGTTAAAACCCAGCCTGGGCAACTCAGCAACTTAGCAAGAACCTGCCTAAAAGGTGGAAGGGGTTTTGGGATGTAGCTCAGTGTAAAGTCACTGGGTTCAATCCCCAGTAGTGCAAGAAAAAAAAGAAAAAAAATTAAGTTAGAGCTTGTCTTGCTTTCTCAGATCTGATTTAATTTCAGAATCCACTCTGTGTGTGGCAAATTGTATAAGATCGTCACGATAGCTTTTCTGCTTTTAACTTTCCCATCCAGGCAAAGGAGGTTTGTCCTTTCCTTAAATTTGGGTGGGCTTCTAACTGCCCTGACCAGTACCGTGGATGTGTGCTTGGAGTCTCAAGGTACTAGGTAGGAAGTCCATGACCTTGAGGCCACCATGCTGGGTAGGGTGAACCTATGGCGGGGTCAAATCAGTTCTCTAATCAGCACTAGACCTCCATTCACTCCAGATGTTACAAAGAAGCTGAGCCTTTGGAGAGAGGATTCTAGCCCCATGGAGTACCCTTCAGCCTTTGAATCTTCCTGCTACTTGGGAGCTGAGGCACAAGGATTCAAAGTTTGAGTCCAACTTGGGCAGTGTGGTAAAATCCTATCTCAAAGCTAGAAGGGCTGGGGATGCAACTCAGTGGTAGAGCACTTGCTCAGTGTGCATACAACCTTAGATTCAATTCCCTAGGAAGGAAGAAAGGGAGAGAAGGACGCAGGGAAAAGGGGAAGAGGGGGAAGGAGGGGAGGGAGGGAGAGGGAGAGGGAAAGGAAGAGAGGGAGGGACCCCCCCCCCATCTGTAATCCCAGCATGCCAGAGGCTGAGGAAGGAGAACTGCAAGTTCAAGCCCAGCCTAGGAAACTTAGTGAGACCCTGTTTCAAAATTTAAAGAAAAAAGCACTGGGTAACAACTCAGTGCAAAGGGCCTGGGTTCAATTCCAGAATTCCAAGGAAAGAAGGGAAGAAGGGAAGAAGGGAGAGAAGGAGAAAGGAAAGAAAGGAAAACAAAAAACCAAAGAGTTTACTTGTCAATATGAATTTTTATTAACACACATTTGTCAAAGTCTGTACAAACCAAAACATTCCTGTGTTTTAAAATGTCCATTATTATAAACATACAAAGAAACACAAAAGGTGTTACAAAAAGTTAGCTACTCGATTTTATGGTAAACAGTGTTGTGATTTTTAAAAACCAAATTTTAAGACCGAGGTTTCTTCTTTCCCGTTTAGGAACTTATGGAGTTAGAAAATGTGTGGGTCTGCTTTATATTAAATGCCTCGACATTAAAAAAAGATTTAGTATAAAACTAAATGTGTTTTTTTATATTGTCATACTTCACATAACAGAATTTCTCGGTCTAAAATTTTAAAAAAATCATGACTGTCATTTTTTTCACAATCTTTTCTGAATGCAGATGCATCTGAAAAATATTATCTGACAGTTTTATCTTTACCTAAAAGTTTCTCATTCAAAAAGTTACAGAACTATTTAGCACTGTAGTTTCCCTTGCTTAGAAGGAAAAAATTACATCCCCTACTAGGGTGATATATAAATAACGTGGTCCATTGTATCTCTCATCAGAAGGAAGCCATCCATTTTTTATCTTTGTCCAATTATGTGCATGGCTCCACTTAATGCGAAGAATGCTGTAAGTTACAGAACATTTGCTTTTTTTTTTTTTTTACCAGGGATCGAACTCAGGTCCTTGCACTTGTGAGGCAGGCGGTGGAACCACTGAGCCAAATCCCTGGCCCAAGAACATTTGCTTTTAACAAATTAAATTTACTGCTACAGTTTTGGTAGACCGAGGTACAAATGTCATCTGCGCTCATGATCACCTTTAATGCCCCCACATTAATGACTCCAGGGTAGTTAGTTCTGTCCTGTTTCATGGCACATACTACATATCCCTAATTTCTTTCAGAAACATCACGTTAAGGACCTGAGAGTATGGCTAAAAAATGCAAATGCATCCCCTTTCCTGGAAAAGTAAATCCACATGCCTATCCGGCAGAAAAAAGAAACAGCACACCCGACTCTGGCTGAAGCCATGGGCCTCTAAGAGGCACCTGATTCCAATACACTTCCATGGAAAGCAGGAAGTATATAGGCTGGGGTGGGTGCAGAGGAGTGGGAAGGAGGTACTGTGCCGACATTTCCCCCAGTGAGACCCACAGCCCATTCTTCAGTAGTTTCTACTGACCCTAGAAATACTCTCTTGTTTAAAGACCTCACCTTGTTTGATTTTTTTTGGGTACTGAGGACTGAACCCTTGGCCTCTGCACTGAGCTATGCTCCTCCTCCAAGACCCCATTTTGAATCTGCTCATGTAAAGAGTTTTCTGACAATCGCTCAGTATAACAACTGATAAGAAGGTAAAAAGGTATTAAAAAACAAAAAGTGGCAGTGTGAGATTTTAAAATCAATCATGTAAAAGAATAAGGGGTGGGGGAGCGAAATGTCCAGTACAACCTGGACAACCTTCCTTTCTGCCCTTACTTAAAAAGACAGACTGTTCAAATCTTTGCAACCTCCCTTAAGTATCTCCTTAAACATTCTACTAAGAAATCCACTTAAAGGCACTTAACTCCATACTTCTACATTGAATTCAGCTTAGCAATCAGTTTTTAAGACTCTAAAGTAAAGAAAAGATCTGATTCTTTTACTAAAAGCTAGAGAATACGACTGTTTTTTTCTCCCCAGAGGCATCACTTTTACAAGAAGAACTATCTAGGCTACCATTGTTCCTTTGTCAAGAAAAAGTTTCTTTTTCTTAAAAAATAAATAAAACTCTGATTATACATAGTACAAAGTTCATACATAATATACCTGGAAAAAAACCCAAGAGTATACCCTGAAGCAAAAGGTTAATTGGAGAGAGAAAGCCTCTCTCACTGTACCAGTCTTAAAGTGGCAGTTTTCCAAAGCTCAGAGGTGGCAGTGATAGGTAATTAGTGCCAAACTGTTGCTCACGGGTACGGCAGGATGCAATGATGCACAGAAAAAAACATTCTGCACATAACACTGAGCGGTGTTCACCACAAAAACACCAAAGAATAGTACCAAAACAGAGACAAAGAGGGAGAGACAGGGGAGGAGAGAAAGGAGAGAGGGAAAGGGAGAGAGGAGAGGCAGGAAGGAGAGGGGAAGGAGGAAGAAGAGTAGAAGGAGCAGATGAGAGAAAGAGGAGGCAAGCCTGAAACCCAGACACTCAAGCATGCAGTCCTAGCGCAGCTCAAACCAGGTGTTCCCATTCAGCCCACCACAATCGCACAAAGGGTAACTATAATAAAATAGAGATTTCTTAAGAAAGCTTGCAACTCCCAGCAAACAGCCAGGTCTCCAACCCTAACCCAAGGTGACTCCATCTGCTACTGCTGGGCTGTCACGGAGAAGTTATAGCTCCTGACTTCTCAGACTTCTTGTTCTTGGACAAGGCAGCTGCTTGCTTCAGGAGCTCTCGGTTTTTGGCCTTAAAAACATAAAATTAAGTTTAATGGATAATAGTAATAAATAGGATAGATATTCCATGCAGATGTGAAAGCAATGTAAAGGGTCGAGAAGCAATGAACAATTCTAATTTCAGAGGTTAAAAAGTTCAGAGGCTAATGAGGGTGTTTCAATCTCTTCAGATCCACTGTTGGGTTATTAAAAATGTATTTATTATTTATTTGGACAGGGTTTCGCTACGTAGCTCAGGCTGGCCTTGAACTCACTACGTAGCCTAGGCTGGCCTCAAACTCTAGGTGATCCTCCGGCCTCAGCCTCCAATGTGCTGGGATTACAGGTGTGCACCATGCCTGGCAGATCCACTGTTTTAAAAAGGTGCTTTATTTAGGTCAAATAAACCAGGGAGGACCTTAATGAACTGGAAAAACAGAAACTGTAAGTCAGACACCTAAAATCCAGTCTGCTACATTCACAAACTCAAGAAACACATCTATTAATTCTACTATTTTTGAGAGAAAAAGATCAGAACACACTCAAGAATAAAACAATAAAGTATATCAAAAAAAGGAATTTACCAATATTTTGTGATTTGTCAGTATTTTAAGAAAAAAATTTGAGATGAATACTTAAAATACAATCAGGCAACTACCCCAGAGTAAGCAGTGTCACCTGCAATTGTTCTGCGACTTCTTTGTGGGTTTTCTCCATCTGGTTCATCTTGGCCCTCATCTGAGATTCCTGGTACTGAAAATCAGCTTTCAGCTCTGTAATCTAAAGGAAAAAAGGCAGTGACCAGAAGAAAGTGTTGCATGATGAGAAATGTTTTCGTATCAGAGAGCTAAACGGTCTCCCAAATTCACGAACTCACCAGGGCTCACCGGCACATCTACACCTACATCAAGCCAGGGGATATTGTTTTTTTTCTAAAGTTTACCTAAACTAACATTTCCTCCTTTTTTTGAAAAGAGATAAATGTCTCACTGTTTTTGGAGTTTTTTTTTTCCTCCTCTGGTTTTCTGAGACAGGGTCTCCCTATGCAGTCCAGGCTGGCTTTGAACGCATGGTGACTCTCCTGCCTCAGCCTCTGAATAGCTGGACTACAGCTACTGCTCAGCACTGAATTAACATTTCTGATACATAACCACCACCAAGTTTTTAAGATTTTAAATATTTAATATATACCAACTTCTCCAAATAAAACAATATATAACTAATGGTTTGAGAAAAGACACAAGAGTAAAAGATGCAGCCAATTACTGAACTTTTACCATGTTCCAGAAAAACTAATTTTATTATTTCATTCAACTGTTTTTTTTTCTTTTTTGTGACACTGTTTTGTTATGTGTTTCAGGCTGGCCTTGAACTCACTATGTAGCCCAGGTTGGCCTTGAACATACAGTGATCCTCCTGCCTCAGCCTCCTGAGTGCTGGGATTATAGGTGAGCACCACTGAAATGAGGTCTTGCTGTTTCGTCCAGGCTGGCCTCAAATTCATAATACTCCTGCCTCAGCCTCTGGGATTATCCGTGGGTGCCACCATACTCAGCTTCATTAATTTTTTAAAATTTTATTTATTTATTTTTTTGTACTGGGGATTGAACTCAGGACCTTGTGCTTGCCAGGCAGATGTTGTGCTGGCTAAATCCCCAGCCCGGCTTCATTAAATCTTTATGATAACCTTGTAGGGACAGTGTTGTAACTTTATAGATGGGAAAACTAAGGCTTAGAAAGAATTAAGTAACCTGGGCAGAACATCCACAGTGTTAGCAAGTGACAGCTGAATTTCAAACTCTAGGCTCACTCCTACTGACTATGCTATTCAAGGATCACAGAGGACATCTAAGCCAGAGAGACGATGCGTGAGCTGAGTTCTGAGGTACAGTAGCAACAGGCACATATAGTGAGGAGAAAGGGGACCCAAGGGAATCGTTTGGCCACAGGCAGAGATGACTGAGGATCGACAGGGCAGAAGGTGAGGCCAGAGACAGGCAACATGATACAGGAAAGTGCTTCCCCAGCCAGGAAGTATGACTTTAGTCTTGAAAGCTACAGGAGAAAACTAATTACTTGTTTTTGAGCCTTTCAAAACCCTAGTTTTGCAAAGCACTAGGAACATGTGTTCATTTTGTCTCTATTTTGCAAAGGTCTTTTTACGTGCCATTTCAATTTTGGCCCATAAAATATACGTGGGTCCACTTCATCTGCTAGTCCCATGTAAAGTGGAAAGGATATGGGTATCTTCCTGTGATGTGCCACCTTACCGGCACAATAGCAGACTTAGACTTATGTTCACTCCCTTGTTCTGTCATTCACTAGCTGAGCAATTTGGACACACTATTCAACCTCTTTGGGTATATTTAATCATCTGCAAAATTAGGTGGAAATTAAGTGAGAAGAATGCATGAATTTATTCAATATAAGGTTGATACAGAGGCATATGCTTGTAGTTCCAGCACGGGGGAGGCTGAGGCAGGAAGACTGCTTGAGCCCAGGAGGTGAATGTCAGGGGAAGGAGGAGAGAGGAGGAGAGAGGAAAATGTAACAGTACAAATGTCTTTGTTATCATTTAGAATGAGTCACTGCATTCTGAATTTGGCACAAGACAACATAGGATGTTAGGGACAGAACAGAGACAAGGAGGGGATTGGAATTCTAAGAAGGAAAAATACTGGAGGCATGCCTCATCTATTAAATGATGCTAATAATTCTTACTCAAAGGTTATGGGCCAGGGATTTAGCTCAGTGGCATTGTGCCTGCCTTGCAAGCGCAAGGTCCTGAGTTTGATTCCTGGTAAAAAGAAAAAAAAAAAAGTTATTATAAGCTGGGCATGGTGGTGAAGTCCTATAAACCCCACACTCAGGAGGCTGAAGTTCAAGGCCAGCCTAAAATACATAGTGAGACCCTGTCTTAAAAAATTAAAACCAAAACCAACAAAAAGCAAATAAAATGTTGTTATAATAATAAACAAGTTGGGACTTCCAGGAAAATGGTGGAGTGGTGAATAGCAGAGAAACAGCCTCTCCAAAATTTGGTGTCAAGATGCTGGAATACAGCATTGTGAAGAAGAGAAGGAGGGAAGTGTGTCCTCTGGACCCGGCAAGGATCTGAAGTGAGAACTGAAGCCCACTGAAGAGAATGAAGAAAGACCTCAATGCACGAGAAGGTGGCAAGACTGAGATTGCCTAAGGGTCACAAACAATACTATAGGCCAATGCTAAAGAACTAGGGGCTGCGCCAAATATGCAGCAATTTCTCATTCCCAATAAATTGAAGAGGTAGAATTTTTTTTTTTTTTGGTACTGGGGATTGAACTCAGATCCTTACGCTTGCGAGGTAGGTGGCCGAACCAGAGCTAAATCCCCAGGCCTCTTTTGTTTTTTAAAATAAATTTTATTTTATCCCATTCCTCTGTTCAAGCTCCCTCCCCTCTCTATGTACAAAAGTTTTGTTTCATTGTCTTCTGAAGAGGTAAGATTCTGAAACAGACTCAAAACCCAAAAGCCAGTTATACCTAGAAGACATTTCTGAGAAATAGTCACTTCCTAAAGGTTCTTAATACTAGCAATAGAAAGCTACCTACCATGAACAATTATAAGCATCAACCCAGGAATTAAACTAAAAAAAAAAAGAAAGAAAAAGAAAGAATATGAAAAGACACTAAAACAAGATGCAACCTTGACTTCTAGATCACCAAGGGCAAACCCAGTGGGCAATGAGGTGGAACAATTCAAAAGGCAGCCACATGGACTCTCTGAAGTGGTAACAACAGAAGTAACGAGGCAGATGAATAAGACTAGAAAAAAATCAAATCAGGGATAGTTTCTCAGGTAACTACAGAGTCCAAATGCTCATCTACTGATGAATGGATATAGACTTTTATACAACAGAATACCACTCTGCCATAAAGAAAGATAAGCTTGAGACATTTCTAGCTAAATGGGTGCACCGTGAGATCATACCTTATGTGAAATAAATTGTATACACGTTTAAATACCACATTATTTCTCTGGCATGAGAAACGGAAAGTATAAAGAAGGACCAAAATGTACAACAGATACTGGGAAATGGGAAGAAAATGTTCAAATGGGAAGGGGCACGAGGGAGGAGAGGGAAAGGAAGGGACAAGAAAAAAAAAAGAATAAAAGGAAACAAATGGAAACATAGGGGTTGAAGGGAGGGGAGGGGAATGGGAAAAAAAGAGCAAGATATATCATGTACAGGTAGAAATTCCCTATGATGAGTGTTATCAATATGTGTATCTAAAATGTACCAATAAAAAAATAAAATTTTTAAAAAAAGAATGAGGTAACACATATCTTAAGATACTGTACCTAAAATGAAGACAAAGTGAGCATGCAGTAAAAGCTAGCTATTAGTGTCTTTAGTGCAAAAATGGCATAATCTCTAAGAAACTGAAAATAAGGTAATAGTTAGAACATGAATTAGAACAAGTATATAAAAAGCTCCCTTCAGGTCAGGTATTTGTCTCAGTGGTTCCACCTCCTGCCTCACAAGCGCAAGGGCCTGAGTTCAATCCCCGGTACCAAAAAAGAATATAAATAAATAAATAAGTAACTCTCTTTAAGAGAAAGGATAACTCTTAGACCAAAGTAAGACTGATCTTCTCACAAAGACATGAATACTAGAAAAATGATACAGCTGGGTGTAGTGGCACATGCTTGTAACCCAACACATGCCTGGGAGGATGAGGCAGGAAAACTCCAAGTATGAGCCCAACCTGGGCAATTTAACAAGACCCTGTTCTTAAAAATGAGGGCTGGGGATTTGGTTCAGTGGTTCCACCGCCTGCCTCGGAAGTGCTAGGGCCCAAGTTCGATCCCCAGTACCAAAAAGAAAAACAGAGAAAGGCTAAGCCAAGCACGGTGGCAAATGCCTGTAATCCTAGCACTTGGGAGGCTGAGGCACGAGGATTGCCACAAATTCAATGCCAGCCTGAGGAACACACAGTAGTAAGTTCAAGACCAATCTAAACTACACAGACCATGTTAAAAAAAAAAAAGTAGTATCTTAATGTGAAGACAGAATATTAATAATGAAGATAATGAATTACTAATGTGTTTGTAGTGTGTCCCTTAGTAAGGGAGCTGTCAAGTGACGAAGCAGTAAGAATAAGAATCATGAAAGAGGGTCCAGCTGGTCACTGTCCAGGGTGTAAGAGACCTGGCCTGAGTATTTCTGTCCCATGGACACAGCCACCCCATAATAGAGACAGAGACATCAAGTTCTTTGAGCCTGAGAGCATTAAACATTCCAATTACATAAATACTATCTCTTATACCAACTCCATGTTCATTGAGCACCTTTTGATTACATACACTCTTCCCAGGTAGGTCACTCTGACAATAGTATGCTGTTATACACTCCACTGTGAATTAGGGTGTCAATGCTGTAGAGTTCCCTATACATTGTCTCTGTACTTTGGCTAACCAATGTCCTCTCTGAGAAGGGGAAGCTCCCTCTAAATGCTAAGAAAAGTTGACTTTCTGAACTCAGGTGGCTGAACAGGCTGACCAAGGTAATGCCATCCGTCAGTCACAGTGGCAACAGTATGCCTCACCCCAGGATGTACCAACCTTGCCGTGGAATCCCTCTCCAGGCATCAGTGGCCAACAAGTATCAGCTGAAGTGGGTCATCACCTCCCATCCCACACACCTTAACCCTTGTATCACTCTACAGCCATCCATTCACTAAACATACCTTCTTCTCTTTCTCTAAAATCATCTGATCCTTTTGATGCAACATCTTCTTCAGAGTAGCCACCTCTTCCTTCAGTTGGGCGATGATGACGAAGTGGTCAGTGCCTGGTGAGTCTAGGGCCAGGTCTGGAGAAAAGCTGAGTAGAAAAATGCAAGGAAAAAAAATTGTAACTTGGATGGAAAAAAATTGTAACATCTTTACCTGAGTGTGCAACCCAGGCCACTTGACTGTGAGCTCCTCCAGTGATAAAGTAACTATCTGAATTCCTAGCATCGAGCACATTGCTCCAGACCCACCAGGACTAATAGCTTTGCTGATGCACACAGCTTGAGTGGTTACCAACACAAACCACAACCCACTTACATTCCTACACCATCTTCTCTTCCATTCAGTACTAAAATGAATGCCACATTCCCAAGAGCCAAAGACACTGTTCAGGTTGATTTACTTGTGAAACAGTCATCATGTTTATAGTTAAGAGAACTTCCCTAGAATTCTGGATAGATTACAAATTGTTAAGCTCAGGTATTTAAAGCTGTGCTTCCAGAGTCCTGTGATGAGGTGCAGCTCTGGAGAAGCTACTAGATTCTATCCACAGAATAGTCGCCCTTTTTGTAAAAAGAAGAAATTAACAGAAAGGAAATCAACTTTCCCTATGCTACAAATGACCTGCAGACTATAATTTCTAGTACGAAGAATTAGGTGACATTTAGTTAGGAAAGGATCAAAGGGGGTTGAGCTTAAGAGTCACACTAGAGCCTGCCTTTTCAACAGACTCCTTCTAGTCAATGGGGCACTCCACTCTGTCCACATGTGAGGCGAATGCCATGCCCTTTTAGCAGTCCCATAAACAGAGAATCTGTAAACTCCTGAAACTACGGTGTATGTACAATCTTGCCTTCCTATATAATGGATAGTTTTTTGGGTTAAGATCCATAGCTTTCAGTGGCTGGTCACAGGAGCCTCAGGCACAAATTAAGTTAAACAATCACTACCAAATTTTGCCCTGCTCAGAGAATTCAATTCCCAAAGGAAGCTCTTTACTTCTCTCAGGACAATTTTTTTTTTTTTTTTTTTTTTTTTTTTTTTTTT